TTAAAAGTAAAATTTTTTTTGGCTTTGCAAAAATAGTGTCTGTTTATTATCCAATTAATCAAATTTTTTTGACTTAGTGTATTTCATTTTAGTTACAATGATTTTTGAGAGAAAAAAAATGCTTTAGCAAGAGCTGTAAATTGCTCTCGTAAACCATTTCAGGGTAGTGTGGGCAATAGTAAACAGACGTCTTTTTTCTGGAGAATTGTTTTGCTAATAGATATGGAAGTAATAGTTTCAAATGAAAATTGAAGCAGCACAATGTGTGGCAAGCCATGGAGAAGAGTGAGGCTTGACTTCGAATCTTCGAGAGAGAATTAAAGATATCATGCCATAGAAATCCACAAAGTTATGTAAAAAGCACATTTGTTAGCAGGAAGACGAAAGATTTCTACCCAAGAGCCATCACGAAAAAAATCACAGATAGAGTCCCAATCACATATGATGTATTAAGGAGAGCGATATAGAACAGGCGATAGAATGAAGTGGTGCTAAACGAAAGTACATAAAAGAATAGTCGGTGGTTTCAAATCTAGTTTCCCAATAAATGGGTGAATTTTTGCAAATGTAAATGCCCATGCCAAGTATGTGACTATTGGAATCTTTACAAATTAAAGAAAGATAACCATTAACACTAAGATCACAAGATGAGAAAGCTAAAATTAAATTAGTCTCACAAAGAGCAAGTTGGTCTAGTGAACTTTGCAAGACTCAACAGAAAAAAACTTCCTTCGAAGACCACAAATATTAATAAATGATAGGTTTAGAGAACTTGGTGATGGTTTTTTCTGTTATATCGTTTTTGATACTTTAGTCATACCTAAAAGAATCAATATTACCATTACCAAAAAGAACCAATATCAAAAATACTGATGTGCCCAGTCCAATACAACATCGCCTAGGATTATTCTTTGTTTACGGTTGCATAAAAAGGATTTCACCCATTCCAGAATTTAACCGTTGATCCCATATCCTTCTAGTTTCAAGATTAAACTCATGTGGTGAACCTTGTAAAAGGCGTTGTCAAAGTCTAGGACGAGCAAGTCTACCAATAGTCAATTAGTGGATGCTTTTGTTAAGTAGTCCATCGTTTCAAGGTGATTTGTAGAGCACGACTTACAGGGAATCTTACAGCTTTTACAGGGAATCTTACAGCTTACAGGAAAACTTACAGCTGTTCTCGTGCAATCAAATTATTGTCAACAAGGTGAGCTAAAATGGCTTGCCTTACTATATTTTCTAGTAGTTTGCAACTAACAGAGGTGAGGCTGATAGGTTTAGGATAGTTGCTGGGTTCTGTGGTCAAGCCTTTTTTGAATATAGGAGTGATGTTGGCTATTTTCCATGCTGTAGGAATTTCGCCTTAGTCAAGTGAATGCTGAAATAGTATGGCTAAAGGTTTTTCCCATTCTGATGGACAGCTGTGTAAGACTATTGGATGGATATTATCAGGTCTTTGGGTTTTATTTGGGTTCATCTCACTAATAAGTTTCTCGACTTGATTTGTATTAACGCTAATATTGCTAATTTATTTGGTAGTTTTGTTAAAAGGTTTGCTAAGTATTGGACTAGACGCTGAATTGAAGACTATTTCAAACTGTTTGTTAAGAATGTTTGCTTGTTGTTCTTTGTCAGTTGTTAATTGTCCAGAGCTGTTTAGTAAAGCACTAATACCAACTTTACTCTTGTTTTTACTATAGATATACGCAAACAGACGTTTAGGATTTTTTTTGTCGCAAGCAAGGTTGAGTTCAAATTTATTTCGTTCTTTTTTGCTGATTTTCTTTAATTTATTTTTTACTTGATTGTAACATGTTTTTAAGTCCTGGGACCTCCATTTATTAGCTGTGTTTAGATGCCATAGCCGTGACTTTAATCTAGATAGTTCCATGACCTCTTTGCTTATCCAAGGCGCTGTCGATTTCTGTGTTAGATGAGGTCTTAAAGTTGGTATTAACTCAATACACAGTTTATGTTAAATAGACATGAAGGTGTCATAAGCTTCGTTTATATTTTTGTTGGCTTGAAGAGATGGCCAGTCAATATCTGATAATTTAGCTGACATAGCGGTGAAGTTGCCTTTTCTATAGTTTAAATTGGAGCTGGTAAATTTATATGCCAAATCGATCGGAAAAGTATAATTCCAGAGTAGACTCAGATGAGACTGGCGGGCATTACCTAAGGGGGGCCCTGGTCTGATGTTCAACACACTGAGTTTTCACTTATAATATAGTCAAACGTGGTTTTTTGTGAGCCATTTGCCGTTGTAAAGGTGGGAAAGAGTACATGTTGAGATAGAAACTCGTCAGCTAACATTTTAATGAAAATGTGTCCAGGGATATTGTCAGGTCCAAGCAAATTGGCTGATCCATCTCGAGACCATCTTACATAAGGATAGTTAAAATTGCCTACTACTAGTAGGTCATAAAATTGTTTTTTGCTGACGGCATTTACAGCTATTTTGATATTGTTATTTATTTCGGAATCTATTAGATTGTTG